GCCTCTCCATGCAGTCCCACTGCACCAGTTACGTTGCTTTCTGTCATGTACTGTGAAGACTAACAGGATCAGCTAGGACAGTCTCACGCAGCCTGGTGCACTTCAGATGTTTTAGATTTCAATTCCCCCCAGCCCTTTGTTTATTTCTAATGTTGCAAAAAAGGGGAAATGCTACTTGAGATTACACTAACAGAAGAATCATTATCTATTTTATAAAACTCTTCTTCCTGTTTGGGTTATCTTCCAAAATGAATGTAAACATATAGAGATGATTCAAATGTTATGAACAATGATTAAAACAGATTTTGAAACACATTCCCAGGTTTAAGCATGACCCAGCCAAAGTTAAACAATGCTAAGTTCCACTGAACGCATCAAAGGCAGGTTCAAATCTCTCATGGAATTTACAACATTTCCTTGTACATGTTTACTCAGAAGTAAACACTGAATTCATTGAGCCTTTCTTCCAAACAGTAAGTATAGATTGTGGCCTTAAAGCGATTAACAGTAGTAGAAATAGTAGTAAGTAGAAGATTGCAACCTTTTCTTATTTAGGAAAAAACATCAGAAATCCTGTGCCTACAAAATCTCCCATTCTATACTCAGAATAAATGATTTTTAATCTCACACACAACCATAGCATTGATTCAGCATGAACACCTTCCATTTTGTGTCTGTTTCTCAACTTACTTTGCTTGACTTGAAGTATTTTTCACTGGACTGGTTGCTATAGAGCAGCTTTCCTCAAGTTGGTATTGTCCAAATGTTTGCATGATAACTCACAGAATTATCAGCCAACACGGTCAACATATCTGAACCAGGTTGGAAAATGATGCTATAGAGCAAATTGGAAAAGGGAATTTGGAGAGCATGAATAGAAACCCTGCAGATGGACATGATGTCTAGCAGAGCAGAATGCTTTGTCCCTTGGGCATGGAAACCTGTTTCCAGATTTTCACGGCCTGGACTTTTTTGAATGAACTTGAAAATGTTCCTCCTTTTAAAGGAAAGTCACACATTTTACTATTCTGCTGCAGCTTGGAATCACTGACCAGGGAAGATCCTTGCAATTCTACAATCGTAACCCATTTTCTCCTGTTCTGTGAGCACAATGCACAGAAACAAAACTTTTAGAAGAGTTTTAGATACATTCATGGAAAACAGAGACTTGTTATGATGTTACACATTATATCCAACTTCAAATGCAGCGTGTCTCTCAAAAGTAGTTGCTGGGAAACTTAAGCAGGACCTTACCATGTGCACATAACTTGCTGTGGGCTGTTTGGCTACTGTGTCAACAGAACACTAAACTTTGGTCTGACCCAGCATGGCTATTCTTATGTTCACACAAACAATCAGACCCCTGTGCGGTGGCTCTTTACATCCAACATTTGGCTCTGTATCTGCAGTTGCAGACATTACATGGGGAATTCTCCATGTAGCATCCAAATGTGTCTTTGGTGGAAGTAGATGGGAGAGCAAATTGCATCTCTCTACGTCCTACATTAAGGTCAAAAGAGAAAAATCACCTGCTGATTTGTGTTCTCAAGGCTGACAGAGCAGATGACTACTTCAACAGGAAGGCAGTTTTCAATATGCTTCTGCATCATGAATGCAGGTATACCAAATGAATCTCAATCACTAACAGTGGAGTGATGGATGGGGAATCTCTGTAGCTAGAAAACCAGCCTCTTTTCAGAAGTTAATCCTTTTGGTTTCATACACTCGGGTCTCTATGCTGCTCTTGCCAAAACTTATGATTAATGGATATCATGATTAATGATTAATGATTATCTGAACAGTAAAGCCAACTCAAGCTTATGGGTTACACTAAACCAAAACATTCCACACAGCAACATTTTGTCATGATGCCTCACTTTTATATGATAACACAGTATAAATGTTTTTATGTGTTGAAAGATAAAAGTAATGTTCAAATTGTCAAAATCCACTCTGCATCCACTTCACTTGATGTAGAGATGGAATTTTGATGTGATCATCCAAAAGGGGAAAATCCCAGGTGTCTGGTTGCCCAATCACATAGAAAATTGATGCTGAGGCATGAGAATCTGAAATACTCTTTTCCTCCCTGCCCAGGAATCTTAATACCTATTTCATGTAGAGTTAGTCAACCATCTACAAGTTTGTCCTATGTTTTTTGATTAATTGATGAATTACATTTAAATAGAGCTCCAGAGCTTTTGGAGGAAAAAAAAAAACTTTTTGAGAAAAAGTCTTCATGGGCTTGAGATAACTTACAATTTAATAAACTACAACTGAATACATAAAACACCAGAAATTGTTATTTAGATTATTCTGGCTTCAGGATATAAAATATTCCCATATCATAGTACTTTGAAAGATCCTGATATATCCACTGTATTGACATTGATTTCTACTTAGCATTGCACTTATTGTTGCTAGAAAAAAAGCCACAGGGTATCATCTCCAGATTAAATATATCCACTAGTTTTGTGCAAAAACTAGAGTAACACTACAGTGATTCTCTTTTTCACTGACTTTGGCAGAAGGAGGTTTTGGGTGAATCTGTGCAGCTCACCTAGCACTGAGCTCTTCATTCTTCTCCAATTAATCAAGGATACATTCTTAATCAGTGACTAAAACTTAAGGCTGCAACCTGCCTGAATATTATCACTTGAAAGGAGGATTTGCTGAAATCTATGGCATTTATTTCCAAGAAAGGAAAGGCTGAATTGCAACTGTGATACTCATTGATTAATCTCCCATCACCCTAAAAAATCAGCCCCAATTTACTAGAACAATTATATCAACATTTTAATTTTATTCAGATACCTGTTTAATAAATGCAGGAGACTTAGAGAGTTGCATTATGGGATCTTCCCTTAGCTTTACTCTTGATCATGTGTGCATTTCCTCATTTTATTTATACTGATATCAATCCTGTTTTTTTCTGATTACAATGCATGCCTGTCTATATAAACAAACAAGAATTCCCTAAACAATTCTAATGTTTGACCTCATTTGCATTCCTTCTGTTTTACCAACAGTAGAATTTTTTTACAACATTTGTGTAAACTGTTGTTAACCAAACGTAAATCAATGGTTTCCGATTAGTGTTCTTCTATGTTTGTCTTATGGAGACCTACTGTGATCATCACCATCTTCATCATTATTAAGCACCAGAATGGTGTTTGGCCTGTTGGACTGAAGAACTGTGAGATCTGGGCTCTAGTCCTCACTCAACCATGAAGCTTACTGAGTGAATCTGGGCCAGTCACACACTCTCAGCCTAACCTACCTTACAAGGTTGTTGTGAGGATAACATGGAACTGTGTAAGGAAATATAAATGCAATGTAACAATAATATTTAACTCATCCATGTAATCTTGACATTCCATCTTTTCCCAGGACTATGCTACCAGCAATGCACTACTTCAGATTAACTGGCTTCCTGCCTGCTTCAGATAATTTCAAACTGAGATATACTTTCATCAAGGATTTATTTCCATTTTTTCTTTCATAGCATGAATGCATCTTACCAGTGCAATCCTATATAAGTCTACTGAAAAGTAAACTCCACGGTGCTAAATGGACTTACTGAGTGGGACTGTGTGCAGGATTGCACCAGAAATCTAGCTTTAAAGCCAACTGAAATCAGTGCCTTTGCTCTCCATCTTTCTCATTGGAATGCATTCTAATTTCTGCTTATTGCTTTACAATTATCAAGTTTTTGGCACTTTTTGGCTCCCTTTCTTCATTACTTTGCCCTTTCAGTTTTAGACTTCCAGTCTCACTGTACTCACCTCCCATTGATTCCTTAGAAATCTGGTGCCAGAGGCTACACTAGAGAATGGAAATGCAGCACCTCCCCCCGCAAAAAAAAAAAAAAAAAAAAAAAAATGGGGAGGAATTTGCAAACAATGTACATTTATTGTATAGGCTGATACAAATTTAGCAGTAATTAGTGCAATTTAGACTGATGTATGATTATTTTTGTATTTTTGTATTTAATGGTAATTTATTATGTGCTATTGTATTTCAATGTATTTTATTGTGTTGTAAGCCGCCCCGAGGCTTCGGCAAGGGGCGGCATAGAAATGTTATAATAATAATAATAATAATAATAATAATAATTTCTCATCATTGTGGGGAAAGCCATGATCAGTCAACCTGTCAGTTGGCTTAATCCACTTTGCACTTGATCACTTTATGATAGGCAACTTCAAGGCCCCTCTGCTCTCCATTTTTATGGTTCTTCATGTAAATCAGGAAAGCCCAGGAAAACCCTTCAAATAGAGGAAGCCTTCAGAGGATGTCCATGGAGAGCCTTTTGAATGATAGGACAGAAGGTCATCCTAGTTGCCAGGGATGGCAACCCTCTACACCAAAGTTTTTTTTAAAGCACACTATGGAACTGTGGCAAGTCTATATTTTAAGAATATCCATTACATTCCAGATGACTGGGGAAGCCCAAAACATCTTTCTTAAAACAGTGGCCACCCCCAACCTTTCCTGAAGCCTCTAAAGCATCCTTCCCCAACCTGGTGCCCTAGTGGACTACACTTCTTAGAAAGCCCCAGATAATGGTCAGACTGGCTGGAGATGATGGGAGTTGAAGTCCAGGCACATCTGGAGGAAAGCTGTTCTGTTTGATAAACGACGGTTCTCTGCTGGTGCCCGATCAACTCCTCTAACTCTCCTTGCAATGTTTCTCATAATTGTAAGATTCTCCAGCTTAGAATGTAGCTTTTTCCAGCTAAAGAACGGGGGGAAAAGAGTATTTTCGGCCGTTCACGTCTACGTGAATGTCTCTGAAATCATGCTGCCCTATGATCACTGCAAGGATCGCGGGCGCTCCACAGCTTTCCCCCCGCTTTTTCTTTCTTTCTTTCTTTCAAGGGGCAAATGAAATGGTGAAATCTCCACTGCCTCCAATAATGTGGCAGCTGGGAAGAAAAAGCAGAGCGCGCGAACGACCATCGGGTCCTCCGAGCCTCCGCTCCTTCTGGAAAGCTTACCTCGGCTGCCGAAGGTGCAAGAGCCAGTGATTCATGGCAGAGAGCAGACAAACTCTGCGGGCTGAGCGCGGGGCCGGAGTTTCTCCCTCCGCCACCGCTGTCGCCGTGCATCGCCCTCGCCCCGGCTCCGCTCGAAGTTTGAGATCGGCGGCAGGCGCACTGGCGGCGGCAGCGCCAAACGAGCCCTCTGAGCGCGCACTCGGCTCCGGCGGGGCAGCGACTTCGCAGCCTCCGCCCACCTCCTGAAGGCGGATTGGCTCGCGGCGGCCGGGCGGGGGTCAGGCGCCTCCCGATTGGAAGAGCCAGCCGGGCTCCAGCCGGTTCTGGCTGTCCTGGCTGCGACGGAGCGCGGGGAGCGGATTCGGAGCTAGAGTCACGACGGCGGCGCTTCTCTTGCGCTCTCTTTGCCTCCCTTCCTCACCCGGGGCCCAAAGCTGTGCAATGGCGACACGGTGCTAGGAGCAAGTCCCGCAGCAGCAGACTCGCACCTTGGCTTCCTAGTGCCGGCGCCGGCGCTGCTGCACCGGAGTCCACCGCGGAGGGGAGTGGGAGGGAACCGATCCGGCGGAGGCAGGTCCCGCCGGGAGGGACTTCAGTCAGACGGGAGAAAAGCGGGTTAGCCCGCATCGAGGTGCAGGATTTGGGTCTCTTCCACCTAGTCAGAAACCCTCACAGGGGTATTGGCGAATGGTTGGCTCCTGGTCGCCAGATCTAGATTTCGAGAACGCACCGGATTCACACTTGCGCAACTCGACTAGCAGAACCCCTCTTCGCTGTTCCCTGCTCCAGCAGAAAATGTTGGACGGAAGTTTGTAGTGTGTAAGGGGAGATCCCTGAAAATTGGGCAGAGTCCCCATGGAGGCCAACCCCCGTATCCGATCCTATCTCCAGTCCAGTAATAAGTCTCATTGAATATAGTGCTGCGTACGTACGAATAAACGTGTACAGGACCATACTGTGTAGGGCTGTAATCCAAACACCGATAGAACTGGAGGGCAGAACATCCAGAGGAGAAAAGGGGTGGCTTCCGAGGGAAAATGAAGACCCTGTACCTTTATTTCAAAGAAGACAGTCACCCTCACTTACTGGAAATGGAAACAACGAGGCCACTTTTTGTTTTGTTTTGGAAGCAGAAGAACAGAAAGGACTCAAAATGCATAGGATGGACTCTCCAGTAATACTGATCAGGTGCCTCAGTTGGAGCTCTGGTGTCGACAGATACCCAGGGCAACTAAGACATCGGATTAGGCTGCTGTTCACCCATGAACCTGTGCATGCCACAGCAAATGTGCCAACTGATTTTTTGGGATTGTTCTGTTACCCCAGATTATCACCTCTTGTGGAAACCAGGTGTCTTTTCTAGAAATGTGCCAGGGTGCATCCAGACAGATGGTGCCAACTCCTACCAGTCAAAAGATGTTGTGCAGCTATTTCCTTCAAAAGAGAAGAAAAATGCTAGGGAATGGTTACCAATGGAACACAATAATATCTGGGCATTTCTGCAGATTGCATAAATGAGCAATGTGACCACATGACAAAAACTTCATTTGGGAGCCCCTACCTTCCAAAAGACCTTAGAGAGAGGACATGCTGTTTATTAGGCATCACAAGACAACCTGTGTGTGTGTGTCTTATAACTCTCTTGTGGATGGAAAGTGTTATGGAAATTATTACTGATAATACCAGTAATAAGCTTAATAAATCTAATAAAGACATTATACTGTGAGAGCCTTGTATGTTCTGGAATATGAAGCACCCTAACCCTCAATGTGTAAGTTCTAGCTGTGGAAACAAAATCAGTAATGAAGCCTTCTGTATCGGCACAGAGGTGGTGGTGGTTATGATTTTTATTTATTTATTTATTTATTAAAACATTTCTATGCCACCCCTTGCCGAGGCCTCGGGGCAGCTTACAACATCAAATAAAATACAAAATACATTAAAACAATAACAATTAAAATATATACAGTAAAATAAAATAAGCCGCCCTGGCCGAATAAAATTCAATAATATTAACATTTAAAATGCTGCTTAAATAAAAAGGTCTTCGCCTGGCGCCGAAAAACAAATAACGACGGCGCCAGGCAGACCTCTCTGGGGAGCGCATTCCATAACTTAGGCGCCACCGCTGAGAAAGCCCTCCTCCGAGTAGCCACCCTCCTAATTTCCTTCACTGAGGGCTCCTGGAGGAGGGCCTCTCCCACTGATCTCAAGGGGCGGCTGGGCATATATGGACGTAAGCGCTCCTTCAGGTAACCAGGACCCAAGCCGTTTAGGGCTTTATAGGTCATCACCAACACCTTGAATTGGGCCCGGACTTCAATGGGAAGCCAATGAAGCTGCCGGAGAACTGGAGTCATGTGAGCATAACGTCCAGTTCCCATCAGCAGCCTGGCAGCTCTATTTTGAACCAATTGAAGTATCCAGACCGTCTTCAAGGGTAGCCCCACGTAGAGCGCGTTACAGAAGTCAAGACGGGAAGTCACCAGTGCATGAGTCACTGTTGCGAGGCTGTCGTACTCCAGATAGGGGCGCAGCTGATGAATCAGCCGAAGCTGGAGGAAAGCGCTCCTCGCCGCTGCTGTTACCTGAGCTTCGAGTGAAAGCTCCGGGTCGAGGAGCACTCCCAAGCTGTGGACCTTATCCCTAGGAGGGAGTGCAACCCCGTTCAGGACAAGGTTCAATTCACCTTCTCCGAAGCCGGAACTGCCTACCAACAGGACCTCCATCTTGTCTGGATTGAATTTTGTGTTTGAGGCTGAGTTCTGGCTTAAATAAGTCACTCATATGTAGCCTGATCTTGTGCATGTTTATTCAGAATTAAGCCCGATAGAACTTACTTCTATGCAAGAAAGAATATAGAAGATGGCAGCCTTAGTACAGTTTTGAAAAGGATATTACAAAGTTGTCCTGACTTTGTGATGGGCTTTTGTGACAGAAACAATTGGTGACTCCAAAAATGGAGTGGACATTATGCTTCTGAAGGCTGTGATTGTTCTGGATGAAGATACAAACCGTTATGAGACATGTAACCCTCTGACTCTGTTCTGATTTTGTCCTCAAGAATCTTTCTAGAGGACGGAAGCAAAGCAGGGGAGGATTTCCTTCCCAGCTAAGCAGGGAACATTGGTACTGTCAATGCTTTTTACTTACCATCTGTCTTGTGGGCTGTTTTTCTTCCAGATTGATTTTTATTGTTTTGTTTTTGCTATTTCTATCCCTCTTCTGCTCAGCTGTGCCTCCCACACTGATAGGGGCTTCCCCATGTTACTGGGGATTAATTGAAGTGGTGATACCTCTTCATTTTCCAAGCAGCTTCCCTAGGGAGTCCATCAGAAACAGAAATACAGACACTTCCTGCTGAGAGTGAAGCATGTCGGCTTCACACTTCAGAAAACTTGCCATCATTATGGGAAATCTTGCTAAGCTTATTTTTAATCTATATTATTTCATTCATTCACTCCATCACCAATCACCCTTTGCTGTTTGGAGCTGAGGTCTTCAACAACGTATCCATGGCTATCAGGCTCTGTGGGATAATGGCTTGCTACAAAGTGAGGGGCTGTGCTCCAGCACCATCTTCTTGGCTTCAAGAACAGTTTTGTGTTTCTGAGCTCATTCCTGCACCTCTGCCTTGTACTTTACGTCTTGGATGAATTACTTTTCTTTTAGCCTTACCACTTTATCTCCTGGGAAATGAGAGTTTGGTGTCTGGCTATGCCCTCAATACCAACATTTTATGGATGGGCAAATTGTCTCCATGGCAGCCATTTTATGAGAACCTGCATAGCTCCTGATGACTTGAGCAAGTGACCCCCATCTACAGGTGACCAGAGTTCTTAAGTGTATCCGATGGAAAAAGCAGCAGGTTCCTGCACTTCATCAGAGTCCCTTGCTGATGGTGGCATTAAACAAGGCCATGTATATTCTGCAATTCGGAGAAAGCTTAGCATTTGAAATGAACTTTTGTCTTCTTTCATTGGAGGAAGAGTCTAGCGTTTGAGTATGAAAGTATCTTAATGCCCAACACTCAGAGAAGTTTCATAACCTTTACTTGTATGTATGTGTTCATACATGCACGCTGGAATCCCAATGATGGAGGAGGAGAAAGGGAGCTTCATTACTTCGCATAGTGCCTTGTTTCTGTGTGTGAAGGCGTGCTATTAGCATAATTTAGGCGGGTTGTGGAATTCAGCTTTTCTGGAGACAAGGGGAAGAGGCTGAGATTTTTGATGGGAAATGGCACAGAATTTGGGCAAGTTGGGAATAGATCTCATGGAAATGGTTGTATTTTATAGTTTGATTGCAAATTGTCATAAGCACACACTGAGCAAATCAAACATCTTTTAAAGAAAACAAAGTAAACAGTGTTAGAGGAACTACAACCCAGTCTGCCATCTTGCCCAAATGCAGTGGCAGTGGCAACAGTGTAATTTTACCAGTGAAAGGGGAGAATAACAGATGGACACGGTGCATACTGCTAGACCAAAGGTAGGCAACTCTGGGCATTCTAAGGTCCATTTTCCTCCTCCCCATGCACCAAAATCTATGGGGCCACACACATTCCACAGCATGTCAGAAGGGGAAAACAAGGTAGCTGGAATTCAGTGGACAAACTTCTATAGAATGCTGAAAGCATGAAATTTAGCTTGTTTGCAGGATACATCTGATACTTTCAGTTCTAAATCTCTCTCCCTGCACTGCCAAATTCAGCAAGATGGGGAAGGGTGTTACATATGGCCTGCATCTTGCCCACCCCGGTGTTAGAGCAGTGAATTAAGATAGTTCAGAGATCATCACTGCTGCAGCTAGTAAATCTTACAGTGGCCAAGGACAGTGGGTGGCAAGAACCTGGCATATTCTTTTATTTATAGTTCCTTCTAAGGTGGTGCAAATGCATAGCTTTACTGGTTGACTAGCCCATGTTCATACCCTTTTTGCTGGTGGGAATATTTATCTCTGAGTGATTTTTATTTCCCCAGCAACGGGAACCAAAGAACTGTGGTTAGGCAGAAAGATTATCACCTTTTTGGATAGGCTTGCAGAATAGAAAGCCCCTAGAAAGTCCACATTATAGATTTTTATCAGTTTTATCTTTATCAGTTAATTGGAACTACTCTGCCATGGACAGCAGCTC